GTGCACCCTCCTCTCCCCACCCCACCCGCCCTCACGGCCCTGCTTGCCCCCCTCCCTGCCCAGGACCAGCCAAACCTCTGCTCTCCAGGGCTTCCCTCCCAGCATCCCCTTGGCTCCTCTAGTTCTTGCCTTTCCTCTGATCCCTAAACCCCTATTAGAGCCAGTGGCCCTTGCCCCTGGCTTTGCCTGCAGGGTGTTCTCCGGCGTGTTCTGAGGGCTCAGGCCCTTTCCTCTTACTCCTCACTCCCTGTGGGAAGGCCCTTGCCTTCCCCCACCTACTCTGTCTCTCCAAGACAACTCAACAGTAGGGATGGGGCTGGATGCTTCTCCACCACCTCCACCCAGCAGGGGCAGGGGGCCTAACATGCAAAGGGTAGATGAGCCCTTGGAGGGGTTTATGAGAGGCTACAGGAAAGGGCCAGCCCCAAAGGCTTCCTCTGGGATAGCTCTCCCTCTTCTGATCTCTGGTAGTGGCTCCAGAAGCCAGCAGCCCCCAAGAAAGGAGGCAGAAAGTCTTGGAAGCCTCCTATCCCAACCCTGGGGCCAAGGGGCAGCACAGAGCAGGCAGCCACTGGAAGAGCAAGGCTGATCCGACCATCCTACTAGGCACTGGCCTTGGTGCTTAAGTCCATGTGTCCTGTCACCTCCACTGCTTTGCTAAGGCCCATGGGCCCAGCCCTGCCCTGTGATGGGTCAGTGATGTGGAAAAGGTGTTCACCTGGGGAAATAAAAGCAAACTTTTATTTGGGACTGGGGGCCTAGCCAGGGACAAAATGGAATCTGTCTATACCCCAGGCGCCAGCAAAGGAACTTGGAGAAAATCAAGCTGGGTATGAAGAAAAAGCACTCTGAGGTGCCTAAGCCAGAGAGACTTCTAGAAAGGTGGGCAGTGAACCTCCAGGTCCTGGCAAAGAACAAGGGGGCTGGGAGAATACAGCACATGGAGGTCTCTGCTCCCAGTGAACAGAGAACCACCTCTCCCAGGGAACACCTGGGCAGATGGGGCCTGGAGAGCCACAAGGGGCCAACTCTGTGACCTGGAAGCAGGGACTCCCAAGAAACTGTAGGGACCCTGTGCAGCCTAGTCTAGCAAAGGTGATACAGCTGCTCCCAGTGGCCAGGGTGGGTGTGGGGGACGTGTCCTACTCCCACTGGCTTGAGTTGTCTTTTCCTACCTACCCCCCACATCCCACCCAGTGACCCCAGAAATGCAGGGCCCTGGTAACAATGATAACCATAGCATAGTCTCCCTCCCCGTTCCTTCTCCCTCCTTTTTCTTTTTCCTCCTCCTCCTCTCCCCACCCCCTCCGTTCCCCATCAGCTTGTGTCCAAACCCTGCCGCACAGTCCTATCAGAAAGGAACAGTCCAACCAGTGACTGCCCAACCCCTTCAAGCCCCCCAAGTAATCCCTCCACAGAACCTTGCAGTGCATCGTGGGAGTATTTAGGAACAGGGAAAATCCCTCTTCTATACAAATAACATTGCACAGGACACAGACAGACACACAGAACTCTAGGCAGCAGTGCAGAAGGCAGGGCCAGGGCAGTAGGGGTGGGGCAGGGAAAAAGAGAGATTGGAATCTAAGAGGAGACAGAATGTGATAGTCTCCTGAGTGAGACAGGTCTACCCAGAGTGAAACAGGCCAACAGCAGAGGGACACCTCCCAGATGCAGAGCGGCAAGGGGACTAGTTCAGCTGGGCAGGGAGAGGCCACAGAGGAGCCCCAGGGGCCACATCCTCAGGTTCACTCCCAAACCCATACAAAGATACACACACATGCACACACACATGCTGTCACATACCTACACATGCTCAGGCATCCATGCTCATAAGTCCAGGGCACAGGCCCAATTGGTAGGCCCCTCAACAGCACCTCTATTCCTCTCTGGAGCCCCACCAATTCCCCCTGGCTGATCTGAGTTCATATAGGTCTTAGGAAGGGTGGAGACCCAACCCATCTTCCCCACCTGCCCCTTATGCCCCAGCCCAGGGGAGCTGGTATGCAGAGCAGCACCCCTGTCTCCCACCCAGCTCATCCAGCTTTCTTCGCACAGCATGGAAACAGTCCCAGGCACTTGGAGAGTCTCCCTGTCTCCTCCCATCCCAGGGAGCAACACCAGACTCCCACAATGCACTGCAGTCTTTATGGCTACCCCCAGCTGCCCACACCCGTCTCTGGTTGGACTGTCTGTGCCCATGAGAAACCCCCTTCGGTTTGGCCATGTTGATGCCTGACACAGAACAAAAGCAAGACCTACCAAAATGCAAACAGCTGCGGCAAAGAAAGAGAGATAAAAATCCGCAGCCAAAAGTCAATTCCCTTCCTCAAAGTCTCTTTAGAGGCGAAGGAAGCTCAGCATGCGGTTTTTTTCCATTATGGATGTGATACGAGCAAGACTGGCGCCTCCCCCAGACCATGCATATATATAGCAGTGTGTATATATATATATATGTGTGTGTGTGTGTCCGTGTATATGTGCTATACAGCCGTATGGAAGCATATACAGCCACGCCAAGGGACTCACTGCCGACAGAGGACCAGGCCCGGGCAACATATTGGCTATAACTGCCCTCCTCCTGCGATGCTATAGTCTCCACAGGCCCTCCACCCCTCCCCGCCCGTCCCTACTCTCTGGCTCGAACCTGAACGTGGAAGTGGCGGGTTTCCTCTTTGCTGGTGTCTCCCCCTCCCTCAAGCCACCCTTTCCCATGTCCCTCCAGCCCCATCAGCTCTGAGCCCCCTGGCCTCCCACCTCCCCAGCCCCCGCCGGATAACCCCACGTTTCTGTTGCAGATTTTGAGTTCCTGCTCCCCAGCAGCTTTGAGTCTGAAGGACATGTTTTCATTGCTCCCAGGTAGCTTGCGTGTGGCATTGCTGAGGTGTCCCCCGCACCCGACCACCCCAGCCCCGCCTCCTGCACTGCTGCCTGGAGCTCTGTGTGTCTGTGTCCTGTTCAGTGTTGCCCCAGCCCCCCATACATAGCCTGGTATGCGCGGTTGTGTGCATACCCAGGCCATGTAGCCGCACCAGGCAGCAGTAGCCAGCAGCCCCACAGCCCAGCTCCCACCAGGCCTGGGTCAGGGGGGCTCTGGACTCATCTGCTGACTTTCCCTGCCATCCAGGTAACCAGGAAGGAGTCCTTTCCACCCTGGGCTGGCTGTCTGCAGCATGCCCCTTGCTGGGCAGCTGCTGCTCTGGTTTGTGGTGTCCTGCCCACCCCACCACCCTGCACCTTGTTGTCCTGTGTCAGTCAGTGTTTGTGTGGATCTGGGGCTGAGCCAGCCAGAGCCCCTGTTGGCAGTGCCGTGTCTAGATGTGGTGATTCACTGACGAAGGGAGGGAGAAAGAGGGGGGAGGGCAGGGACTTTGGGGAGTTACTCTGGCAAGTGAGGGGTGAAGACCCAGAGCAGGCTCAGGCCTAGGATATCCCTGGAATGCACATTCAGTGTTCACACACACATTCTCGTGTGCACACCCTCTGCCTTTGGCTCACATCTGAGGAGGCCCGGGACTCCTGGGTGCTAAAGCTCTTACCTGTGACCTGGGCTTTGGATGAGGGCAGGTGGGTGGCTACAGCTGACAGGGACCCATGAGCACTCTCAGGCACCACACGGGGCTCTGGACCCTCCTAACCTTCTTGTGTATGCACGTACGTGCATGCACTCGCAAATTTCTCTGTGACTCTCTCTGTAGATGTGTGTTTGTATTTGAGTCATTATGTACATATGTGAGAATCTGAGTGTAAATGTGGATAGGGCTCTGTGCATTAGTGACTGTGGAAAAATGTTAAAAGACCTGTGTGGCCCACATGACCCTGAGGTAGCTCTCTGAGGGCAGGGAACCTGTTTGTTTTTGTCACCTCTATATCTCTGTCTCAGAAGAGCCCAATAAATGTGTGTTGGGTGAGTGAATGAAGCACCCCACAAATGTGAATGTGCATATTGTGTGTACAGGAGAGACTGCAAGTAACTTAGTATATCTCAAGCACAGCCATGTGGGTGACACTTTGGGTGTCAGATATGGCCTCCAGGCCCAGAGGTGCAGGCTGTATATTGCACAAAGGCCCTGGGAGCCAAGGAGAGTGAGTGGGGGCTGAGGCCGAGTCCCAGGTGCCCTCACCAAGCTATGGGCCCTAGCACAACCAGGGAACAAATTCTCACAGTTATTGCCACATGGAACAATGAGGAGATTCCTGGCAGCAGTGGTGTGACAAGGGATGGGGCAAGAGAAATGGCTCCATCTCTCAGGGTAGAGAGGACTGCTCACCAAGACTTCCTGGGAAGCAGAGCCCCAAGCAGACACCCCCTACCCCACAGCCTCTATGTTCTCTGGCCCCAGAACCTGAACCCATTGAGAGCCTTGAGGAGGTGAGAGATTTGGCCTCCCCACCTCTGGGGAAAGAGCATTCTAGGCAGAGGGAACAGCCAGTCTGAGGACACACATGTTCCTACCAACTTCCTGACCCCCATGTGGTATGATGAAAACAGTCTCAGGGAGCTTGAGTGAGTTGCCCAAAGGTACACAGCCAGGAAAAGGCAGGATGAAGTCTTAGACTCAGGCTGACACAAGCCAGTGCTTGTACTCTGGTCCCAGCTGGCACCCACAGCAACACTGTGGAACATACAGGTGGATAAGCCGGCCACTGGGCATTTCCTGGGACCCCAAGTAAACTGTCTGGGTCCAACTACATGGAAGAGATAGGAGACTGCAGGGCCTTGCCTGGGAGAGAGAATCTGCGAGAGTGTAGGAAGTAGACCCTCTTTCTTGTGTGAGCTCTGCCCTGACTCAGACCTGGGCAGCCTGCCAGGCATGTAGCAGCTGTAGCCTGTAAGCACACATGTGCCCCTCCCGGAGGCCTGGGCTTCTCAGCGAATGGCCAGGTGGGCCTATTGAGAAGCCTCGACCCCACTTCCCTGTCCAGCCCCACAAGCCCACTCTTCTTGCCCCTTCCCACCCTCAGAGAGTATTGCAAGGACCTGAATGCCTCAGACAACAACACCGAGTTCCTGAAAAACTTCATTGAGCTCATGGAGAAAGTGACTCCAGACTCCAAGCAGTGTGAGTGGGGGGCAGGGCTGCTGGATCAGGGCAGTCCCCAGGCAGCATGGGGACAGCCCAGAGGAGCTCAGAGACTGGGCAGGTGTGGAAACATGCAGCCCAAGCCAAGGGCTGGGTCTGGACCAGGTTATGGGGAAGGTTCCTGGTGGAGCCTTGGGGGTGAGGGCAAGGATGGGCAGGGAGCTGCAAGAGGATGCCTCTTCCACCCTGTCTTCCTGTTCCAGGCAACAACTTCCTTCTGCACAACCTGATCTTGGACACGGGTATCACACAGCAGCTGGTGGAGCGTGTGTGGCGGGACCAGGATCTCAACACGTAGGCACCCAGCCTGTGGGGTCAGGAGGCTGGGATGGACCCAGAGGCAGAAGGCAGGCCTGTGACCCCACCTCCCTGTTATCCTCAGATACAGCCTGTTGGCCGTGTTTGCTGCCACAGATGGTGGCATCACCCGAGTCTTCCCCAACAAGTAAGTGACCTACCCTACTACCCAACACCCTGGGACCTTGCCTCTGTTCTGCCACCAAGAGGCCTCCCTTATACCTGCCAAAACCACTGTCCCCCACAGCCAACCCTTACTCACCAATCTACCTCTCTTGGGTACACCAGGGCAGCTGAGGACTGGACAGAGAACCCTGAACCCTTCAATGCCAGCTTCTACCGCCGCAGCCTGGATAACCATGGTTATGTCTTCAAGCCCCCACACCAGGATAGTGAGTATCTGCCCAGGGTGTCCAGCAGCAGTGGGAAACCTCAGCTTCCCTGTCTCCTTAGCTAGGGCTGGGCTTTGCTCTGAGAGTCCTCTCCAATATGAACCTGGCTGAGATCAGAGCAGATGTGAAGAGAGGGATGGGCTGTGCCAAACACTATGCTGGGTGCTGGGCGCTTAGGCTGGAGTCAGCCCTGGGTTGAGTTCCTGGGTTTGTAGAGCCCAGCATGGAGTGTTGTGTGGCTGCCAGCCCCCACTCCTAATGTCCCCACCCCACCCCCAGCCATGTTGAGGCCACTGGAGCTGGAGAACGACACGGTGGGCATCCTCGTCAGCACAGCTGTGGAGCTCAGTCTAGGCGGGCGCACACTGAGGCCAGCAGGTGAATGCCCAGGATGGAGGTGGGGAAAGAGGCAATGGGCAGGGTACTGCCTAGACAGGTAGCACTGATGGTTCCTTGCTCTCCCTCAAAGTGGTGGGTGTCAAGCTGGACCTAGAGGCTTGGGCTGAGAAGTTCAAGGTGCTAGCCAGCAACCGTACCCACCAGGACCAGCCTCAGAAGGTATTTCGACAGGGGAGGGGGCAGTAAGCCCAGCAGTAACCTTTCTGGAATCCCCCCGGGACCCCTACCAAACCTCCCACTAGAGTGGCTCTGGCATCTATGGGGAGGCAGGGGCAACTGCAGATGGCCTGGGGAACCAGATGTATGAAGGGTGACGAGAGGGAGGAAAACTGGTGGGCGCCTTACAGTCCTTGCTCTCTGCCCAGCAGTGCGGCCCCAGCAGCCACTGTGAGATGGACTGCGAGGTCAACAATGAGGTGCGTGTGCCCTGAACTGCCCTAAACTCTAGCTCACCCCAGTACCAGACTTCTTAATCCGGACTACCACATAGCCCATCCCTTGGCCTGTGGGTCTCAGTATCCCCACCCTGACTTCACAACCTTACCAGGACTAGGGGGAGTGGTGCCCACCCCCCACTCTGAACCACTGAACTGTCAGGGCCTGTGATGGAAGGTCTGATGTGGAATGGCCCTCTCCATTTTCTTCCCCCTTCCCTTCCTCTCAGGACCTACTATGTGTCCTCATTGATGATGGGGGATTCCTGGTGCTGTCAAACCAGAACCATCAGTGGGACCAGGTAAACATCAGGAAGAGGGTGGAAGAAGGAAGGAGGAATTTGAGCCTTCTGGGGTGTGGCACGGCCAGCCCTGTGACCACGCCTCTCTCCTGGCATCCCCAGGTAGGCAGGTTCTTCAGTGAGGTGGATGCCAACCTGATGCTGGCACTCTACAATAACTCCTTCTACACCCGCAAGGAGTCCTATGACTATCAAGCAGCCTGTGCCCCCCAGCCTCCTGGCAACCTGGGTGCTGCACCCCGAGGTGTCTTTGTGGTGAGTCTCCAGAGGTACCTGGCCTGGAGATGGGGGAACTGAGAGACCTACCCACAGATAGTCCCCCCACACCTCTGACATTTGACATCTAAAATAGAGCTGGGGGTGATTTAGGCCGAGGATCAGCAGTGGCAGCCCATGCCCCCCCCCCTCTCCACTGCAGCCCACCATTGCAGACTTCCTTAACCTGGCCTGGTGGACCTCTGCTGCCGCCTGGTGAGTCCTGTGGGAAAGGTGGGTACAGAAGGTGCTCCAGAGCCAGGAGGGTTCAAAAGAGAAGCGGGAAGGACATTGGCTTCTGCTGACCCTCTCCACCCGGTGCCCCGTGCCCTGCAGGTCTTTGTTCCAGCAGCTTCTCTACGGCCTCATCTACCACAGCTGGTTCCAAGCGGGTAGGTAGGGCTTTGGAGGCCCTCTCCTCAAACCCCCGTCTTGGAGAGCTGAGACGACTCCAAAGGGAGGGCGGGGCTTACGGCTGAGTGAAGCCGAGCCGGAGGCCGGGTCAGGGCCCGTGGGCGGGGCTGAGGCGCTCTGGGCCCTCGCAGACCCCGCGGAAGCCGAAGGAAGCCCCGAGACGCGAGAGAGCAGCTGCGTCATGAAACAGACCCAGTACTACTTCGGCTCGGTAAACGCCTCCTACAACGCTATCATCGACTGCGGAAACTGCTCCAGGTGCTGGCGGGGGGTGGGACCGGAGGTCAGGGCGGGACCTGATGGGGCGGGGGTGTGTGTGCTGGACTCTCAAAGAGCACGGAAGGGGCGGGGCCTCCGGGTGGGCTCGGCTGTGGTGGGGCTGCAGGGGGAGGGGCCGGTGCGGGCGGAGCGAGCCTCAAAGCCATGCCTTTCCGGGCTTCCTCCAGGCTGTTTCACGCGCAGCGACTGAGCAACACCAACCTTCTGTTCGTGGTGGCGGAGAAGCCGCTATGCAGCCAGTGTGAGGCTGGTCGGCTGCTGCAGAAGGAGACACACTGTATCCTGCCCCTGCCCTCCCCGCCGCCCGCGCCCCTTTCTGCCCCGCGCGCCCCCTCCGTCCGCCGCCGCCTCCTTGACTCCCCACCCATGCCCAGCGGACGGCCCGGAGCAGTGTGAGCTGGTGCAGAGACCGCGGTACCGGAGAGGCCCGCACATCTGCTTTGACTACAACGCGACGGTGAGCAGAGGGGCGGCGCAATTGACATCCCTCGGCCCTGCGCCCGCCCAGGCCCACCAGCTTGTTGTCTCTTCCCGCAGGAAGATACCTCAGACTGTGGCCGCGGAGCCTCCTTCCCGCCGTCGCTGGGCGTCCTGGTCTCCCTGCAACTGCTGCTCCTCCTGGGCCTGCAGCCTCAAGTTCACGCCCACGCCTCTCCCCGCCTCTGAGCACCCCCCTTACCCCCACTTCACCCGGCCTCCTCGCCCCTCTCCCACCTACCTGCCCCACGCTCCCCGCCTTAGAGCCTCGTCCCTCCCTCATTGAAGGACCTGAGCTCACCAGGCCCTGAGAATCTGCGCCTTGGGATGGAGGAGTCCCAAAGGAGGAACCACAGGTCTTTGGCACCCAAGCCACATCTCACCACTGAACTGTTCAAGTGTTCCCAGACCCTTCATTCCCACTGGGCTCACCCGGTGGGATGGGACAGTGAGGCCACACGTACTGGTGCCAAACCAGGCCTCTGCTGCCACCCTGCCTGGAGACTCCCAATGTGGGGGGGACCCTGCCTCGGCTGTCCTCTGACCTGCCCCTTCTGCCCCACCCAAGCCCCAAGGTGGTTTCCATGAAAACAGTGAAGGAAGGTGAGATGGACAGTTTGAGGCCTGTTCATCCCAGCTTAAATCCTAGCAGGAGAGAGGTCCTAGGGCAGCCCCCCATGGGCTCCTGCCCCTTTCAGGCCTACAGCCACGTCCTCCCAAGCCTTGCAGGTGTCAGGACAGTCACAGTGATATCAGTTTAGACACAACCCCATACACACCTGGAACCCTGAGGGCAGAAACTGGACTCATATTAGACATACCCTAGAGGGCACACACAGAGAAACAGACACACACACACTGTGGGGTGGTGTGGGGTGGGGGCTCACAAAGCCTTACCAGGGCAAGGGGTTGGTGGGAGGGTTGGCACCTGCACATTCCATCTCCTGCTCACCACCCACCTCTAATCTGAGGTACAGCCTAGCTGGTCCTCCCATCTCTAAAGCTGAATGTCAAACAGTGCCAAATGCTGGGGCAGGGGGTGAAGAATCCTCTGTCCTACTCCTAGCCACCAGTGTCCCCCAAGTGCCCCTCACCTCTCCAGGTGCTCATTGTAACCATTTCTTACTAGTGTCAGGCCCCCAGGGGGACCACATGTCACTGCCTGCACCCCTCACAATGGAACCCCCACCAGACATCGCCCTTTGCCTTAGCAGGGGTGACTTAGTCTCTCCTGTCTGGGCCATCTCATCCCCAATCTGGCCCTTACATACTCAGGCCTGTGTCCACTCCCTAGCTCCTTCCCACAACATACACACATCCTGCCCCCTGGAGGCCAAACTGCCCCTCCCCTGCTAAACACACATTTGTACACATATACACACGCACACTGTGCACACAGAGGTGGGGCCTGAGCACAGCTCTTCACACCATTCATTCTGGTCATTTCCCTCAAAGGCATCCCAGCCAGGGGGCCAGTGGGGAACTGAGGGCAAGGGTATGTAGCAATGGGGCTCAGATGGACTGGGAGGAGGGGGGAGGGTGATGCATTAATTAATGACTCCGTTAATTAATGTCATGTTGCTTGTTGCTTTCTCAGTGTGTGTGTATGGTCCATGCCTGCTGCTGGTGCCAGGGTGGGCGTCCATGATGTGCATCCAACTTGGATGCCACCTGTGTCCTGCGGGGGCGTGTGTGTAACTGTAGTGTAGTCAGGTGCTCAATGGAGAATATAAAAATAAAAAACAAACATATACAGAAAAATAAATATATATTTTAAGTTTAAAAAACAGAAAAACAGACAAAACAATCCCCACCAGGTAGTTTTCCAACCCCCAGCTGGGTCTGATCCTTCTCATCACCCACCCTACCTGGCTGCCCCCTCACCTTAGGCTGGGGGACTGGGGGGCCATTTCCTATTCTCCGCCCCCTTTTTTTTTTTTTTGGTTCTATTTTGTACAGACAAGTCAGAAAAACAACAGCGACAAAAAAGTCAAGAAACTTTGTAAAATATCGTGTGTGTGATTCCTTGTAAAATATTTTCAAATGGTTTATTACAAAAGATCAGTTATTAAATAATGTTCATATTTTCATTTCAAATGGTTCCCATCCACTCTGTCAGCCTGGCAGTGAGGACTGACTAACTCTGACAACAGGCGGCCAGGACCACAGAGTCCCACTTACTGCTCTGCTGGGAGTGAAAGCCATGGCAACCCAGGACCATGGCAGTCATAGAGCATGATGCTTCCAGCATCTAACCAGTGCCAAGCCCTTAACATATTGTGTCTCATATCTTCTTCTCAAAAGCCTCCAGGAAAAAGCTGTCTTTTAAAAACAAACAGGCCAGGAGTGGTGCCTCACACCTGTAATCCCAGCACTTTGGGAGGCCAAGACAGGAGGACTGCATAGGGTTCAAGACCAGTCTAGGCAACATAGCAAGACCCTGTCCATGCAAAAAATTTTAAAATGAGCTAGGTCTCGTGGCAACCTCAGGAGGCTGAGGCAGGAGGATCAGTGAACTGTGATCGTGTCACTGGACTCCAGCCTAGGCCAGAGTGAGACCCTGACTCAAAAAAAAACAAATAGGAAACCTCCCAGAGCCTCAAAGCTGGGACCGTGGAGGAAAGAAGACAGAGATCAGAGATGAGATGCCAGTTTAAGGGGAAAGAGGGTCTGGCCATCAGCCCAACCACCAGGACCTCACAGGTCCTCCACCTGAAAGAGTGAGCACCTGGCCCCAGCCGCCCCTGGCACTCAGCTGGAGGGCCCAGTCCCACTGTACGGAGAAGGTCCAGGTGTGGCCACCCACAAACACAGCAGTGGCTCTCTTCAGGCTGCAGAGGAGGCTAGAGGCCACCGCTACTCATTCTGGAGCCCTAGGCTGACTCAGTTTTTGCAAATCCTCTTGGGCCTAGGCCTAACCAGTGTGACCTTTGTGTTCTTTTCATGGGGAGAGAATTATAACCACCAGTGCAGAGGCTTCCCCCTGCAGGAGCTGCCAACACTCTGCCTAACACATGCGGGGGGCCAGGGACTCTGCTCACAATCTTTGGTGAGTAATAGTGTATCCCCATACCACAAATGAACAAACTAGGTGAGAAGGGTAAAAAAAAAAATCAGCAAAGATTTCAGAAAGGAGGTAGCAGCCAGAACGGATGGGGGGCTTGTATGCTAAATAGGAGGACATTCCAGGCCTCAGCCAAGACGGACTTTCCTCACTCCTCCACAGAGCAACATCTAGTCCACAACTTGCAACACAGCTCCCATGCCCTCAACAGTTACCTGAAGTACTAGGGTAGGGGTAAAATACAGACCACCCAGTCAATTTTGAATTTCAGATACAAATAACATTAGTTAGATTGAAATCATAGGCTAAAAGAAAGGGATTCTGTATTTTATAATAAAGTACTTTGTCGTTTTTTAAAATTACATGCACTTAAGAAAAAAAAAGAAATCAGGGCACGGTGGCTCATGCCTGTAATCCCAGCGACTTTGGGAGGCAAAGGCGAGAGTATTGCCTGAGCCCGGGATTCAAGACCAGCTTGGACAGCTTAATGAGACTTCATCTCTACAATAAACAAAATTTTTTTTTAAATTAGCTGGGCATGGTGGCACACGCCTTTGGTTCCAGCTACTTGGAAGGCTGAGACAGAAGGATTGCCTGAGCCCAGCAGGTCGAGGCTGCAGTGGCTGTGAGCGTGCCACTGCACTCCAGCCCGGGCAACAGAGTGAGACTCCAACTCAAACAAAATCAGTTTGCACAGAACGCAAGTGTCAGAAGCCTTTGTGGCTGAAGCGTGGCTGGAGAGGTCTGGCCCAGTCTTGTGGGGAAACCTCTTCGTCAGCAGTAATCAGAAGTCACTGGTGGGAAGAAGAGTCACTGAGGGCAGCCCAGCCTTGCCCCTTTGGAGGAGGGAGCCCTGGGTTCGTGCCGCAGGTCAACCTCACTTGTAAAAAGCGCAACGTGGACGACACACCCGCTGAGCATCCAGGGTTGACTGGCATTTTACACCCCTTTCCCCTTTGATCACTTCGCAGGAAGATCCTACCAACATCTCCAACTCATTGCCCGTGAAACTGAGTTTCACAAAGATTCAGGAACTTGGCCCATGCCACACGTCCGCCAAACCAGAGCAAGGATTCCAGCCTGGGTCAGGACCCATTCACCAGACCATGGAGGGTCCGGGAGCCCTCACACACGGACACACCCACCCACCCACACACCTGCCCACAGGATATACCCCCTCAGATGTACATGCACAAATAGAGCCACTCTTCCTGGGGAATTCAGCAAGTGTGTGGCTGAAGCTGTACTGCCTCCCGAATTCGCCCCGCCGCATTTGCGCGTTAGCGATGCTAAATTCATCCTTCCAAGCTCCTGCGAACCAGCAGAAACGACCCGGATCCTTGCAAGTCTCATCACCAATGGGAATAGCCCACGCGCGTAGCCTCCTGGGGCTTGTGGTTTTACCCAGAATGCTGTGCGGTTCGTTTTCGGTGGCGACCAAGGACTGCATATCCCAGCATACCGAGGAGCCGGAAGACGGGAACTCAGTGGGCATCTCGCTGCCGCCAGGGGCGCGCAAGCGCAGTACCCCTGTTTGTCGCCCCCCGAGAAAGGAGGTACGGTCGAGGCCAAGAGTGAGGCCGAGCGAGAGCTGACCGGGCTTGACTCGGCCACAGAACAAGGCACCGAAGGTTCCGGAGTGAATGGAGGAGGCCCAGACCTGAGATCAACGCCAGCCCGACCGGCCTGGCACGGGGCCTATAGGGCGGGCAGGCAGGCGTGCCGAAGCCGCCAGGGCCTTTCCTCTGGTATCGGGTGAGGGGCCTAGGCTCCGGTCCGGCGACAAGACCGGGCTCGGCCCCTCGGAACCAGAATCCGACCCAGTCAGAAGCGGAGCCTTCACCAGGGCCATAGGCCAGCGGCTAGGCCGGGCCCGGGCCTCCCATCGGGGCCGGACTGGGACGAGGCCCCGGGGAGGCCCCTAGCGTACCAGACCCTTTCTTCAGGTCGACGCCCGCCGAGAAGATGCAGCGTGCCCTACCAGGTGCCCGCCAGCATTTGGGGGCCATACTGGCCAGCGCCAGCGTGGTAGTGAAAGCGCTGTGCGCGACAGTACTATTCCTCTACCTGCTCTCCTTTGCCGTGGACACGGGCTGCCTGGCGGTCACCCCAGGCTACCTCTTTCCACCCAACTTCTGGATCTGGACCCTGGCCACCCATGGGCTGATGGAGCAGCACGTGTGGGATGTGGCCATCAGCCTGGCCACAGTAGTGGTGGCTGGGCGTTTACTGGAGCCCCTCTGGGGGGCATTGGAGCTACTCATCTTCTTCTCGGTGGTAAATGTGTCTGTGGGGCTGTTAGGGGCCTTTGCCTACCTCCTCACTTACATGGCTTCCTTCAACTTGGTCTACCTGTTCACTGTTCGTATCCACGGAGCCTTGGGCTTCCTAGGTGGTGTCCTGGTGGCACTCAAGCAAACAATGGGGGACTGTGTGGTCCTGCGAGTGCCCCAGGTGCGCGTCAGTGTAGTGCCCATGCTTCTACTGGCGCTGCTGCTACTCCTGCGGCTGGCCACACTGCTCCAGAGCCCAGCACTGGCTTCCTACGGCTTTGGGCTGCTCTCCAGTTGGGTGTATCTTCGCTTCTACCAGCGTCATAGCCGGGGCCGAGGGGACATGGCTGACCACTTTGCTTTTGCCACCTTCTTCCCTGAGATCCTGCAACCTGTGGTTGGGCTGTTGGCGAACTTGGTACATGGCCTTCTGGTGAAAGTAAAGATATGCCAGAAAACAGTAAAGCGCTATGATGTGGGTGCCCCATCCTCCATCACCATCAGCCTGCCAGGCACAGACCCTCAAGACGCCGAGCGGAGAAGGTACTGTGAAATCTTCCAAAATCTTGTCAAGCTAAGAGAGTATTAGTCGAGTCACGTGCCATCTGTTAGGGTGCTTGCTGTATATAAACTGGAGAACTAGCGTTAGTTGTTGGAGCTGGTTCAGAAAAAGATAAAATTTAGTCTTTGGCCTTGAGGAACTTAGCAGTTAGGTCTGGGCTCCAGGGGGTGCTTTTCTCACCACTCAGGCCACTTAACAAGTTTCAAGAAATGCACAGTTCCCTTTGGTACTGTGTGAGGGGATAATGAAGGTACACATAACTGGCCTTGCCTTAGAATCTCAAAGTCCTAAACGCTGGTCCTGTGGGTGCCAGAAACAACCTGCTGGTCTTTTTTTCCCCTGTAAGGGAGGAATGGGGAAGAAGACCTGGGGTCCTTAAAAGGTGAGTGGTGGCATAGTGGCCCACACCTGTAAGCCCAGCACTTTCGAGGGCTGAGGCAGGAAGATTGCTTGAGCCCAGGAGTTCAAGACCAGCCTAGGCAACGCAGCAATGTATAAAAAAAAAAATCCAAAAAATTAGCTGGGTGTGGTGGCATGTGCCTGTAGTCCCAGCTACTCAGGAGACTGAAGTGAAGAAGTGCCTGAGCCCAGGAGGTCAAGGCCGCAGTGAGCTATGATCGTACCGTGCACGCCAGCCTGGGTAACACCTGGGTGGCTTAGCTTGTAATGCCAGCACTTTGGGAGACCGAGGCGAGTAGATTGCCTGCGCCAGTGGGTTCGAGACCAGCCTGGGCAACTTGGTGAGACCTCATCTCTACAACAAGCAAATAAATAAGCAAGCAAGCAAGTGGGCCATTCCACTTTCCAAATGCTGAACTATGTCCTCTTCCTGGGCCTTAATTCAGATACTGTGCTTCTCTGCCATTTATTAAGCAGGAATCTTGAGGTATTACCAAATTTGGGTTTTCTTTTTTTTTTTTGAGTTGGAGACTCACTCTGTTGCCCAGACTGGAGTGCAGTGGCTG